GGGACCGTTCAGGAGCGGTCCTCAGTATCCGATCCATTGCACTATCAACAGTCTTTTTCTTTTAATAAGTTTCTTTGTTTTGGTAAGTGGGAGGTCCCATCCCTCCTACCTCACCACCTAACCCAATTCTTCCTCTTAACTATCAATAGTTATACTTGACTTTAACAATCAAATTAGTTCAGTTTTCTATATGTATTCTTTGTTGTCCTGAGAGAATCAATGTTGTGTCCATCTTTGTCCTTTTTTTTTTTGTCATTTTCACAAACAAGTGATAAACGTTTTCTCCTACATACAAAAGGGTAAATTTGGAAGAAAAAAGTGTGTCAGTACATTTTTTTCATTTTTAAGGCCTTTATTTCTAAAAAGGGTTGAAATTGTTATCAAATTTGTCAATCAAGGGGAGGGCAGCATAATTTCTAATATTTACGTGAAATTGTCAAAAACCTCAAGGGAGGTTTCGGAAATTCCCCTATTTTCAATTTCCTTCTTATCTTGTATATATTATATCGCTACAATATATTTTTCTAGAAAATTTTTGAAAAGTTGCAAACCAAATGAAACATTGTATTATATGCTTGGACAACTTTATGCATGGGTTTTGTTATGTGCATTGCAATGGTGCATATTTTGTGTGTATTAATGGTATAATCAAGTGGAATGACTACTAATTATAGAGTGTGGACAATTTAGAACAAAAAATAGTTGCATGGGGCAAAAATATGTTATTTGTTTAATTTAGTGGCTAATAGGGATTTTCACCATTTCTTTTATCTTCTTAATTCCTAACTCAGTTATCAAAGATGGAATTCTTTGAGGTACTTGGGAAGAATTAGAACCAATGTTTTCAAACCCGGACCGGACCGGCCGGGTCGACCGGTTCGACCGCGACCCGGCCATGAGTCCGGTCCGGTCTATAGCTTATGTTGACTTTTATAAGAAACCGGTCAAAACCGGAAAAAACCGGTCAAATCTTCAAAACCGGGTTGGACCGTGAACCGCGGTTTCCAATTTTTGAGTCAAAATTGACAAAAACTTCAATTTTGACCGATCCCTAATCTTCATTCTTCATTTCTGATTTCTTCGCTAGTTCGCTCCACGGCTCCAGTCTTCCACTCTTCCTCAGTTCCTCTTCGCACTTCAGTGACTTCACCTCGCCGCTTCACCGCTTCGGTCCTCGCCGCTTCACCCCTTCGGTCCTCGCCGCTTCGGCCTTCGGTCTTCCTTCGCTAGTTCGCTCCACGGCTCCAGTCTTCCACTCTTCCTCTTCGCACTTCAGTGACTTCACCTCGCCGCTTCGCCGCTTCGGTCCTCGCCGCTTCGCCCCTTCGGCCTTCGGTCTTCCTTCGCTAGTTCCTTTTCCCCTTCTCCAAAGTGTGGTGTGGATCACTTTTGGGGAAACGGCGTAGATGACCACTGGTTGGCGGTGCTCGTTGTCGACTGTGGGCTGAAGGTGCAGCTGAGCAGGGTGATTGAGGTGGTGCAGCGCCGGTGGACATCAACCCTTCTGCATTCAGGTCCCAAATCTTCATAATTTGAATTGCTACCTCATTTCGTTTCTAATTTCAACATGTTCTCTGTCTAGATATTGTTCCATATGTGAGTAGATATACTCTGATTGTGATTGATTCTCTTTAGTGTCGTGTTTTGCTGGTCAGTTTATCCGTTTACTCAGACTGGGTTGATTGTAGCTGCTGCTTATTTTCCTGTTCACGTGTTTGAGTTTATAGAATTGTCAATCCTTTGGAAATATCAGTTCCGCTTGCCTAAATTGCTGCAAATTCCCTTGTACTTTGATTGCTTTCATTCATAAGAATTCAGTATCGTGAATCTGCTGATCAATCTATTAGCTGACTGTAACCCCGGCAAGAGTTCTTATATACTTGTTTGTGATTAATTGTGATTTGGATCTTGTCAGTGAGCTAAAGGATGGAAGGGCACCAATTGAACATTACACACATTATCCTTCAAGTTTTAGCAATTCGCTTAAATGTGTTGATCTCACGTTTTGCTTCTCAAACATGTGATATACCATATATATGTAGTGTTTAAAGGGCAAAGACTTTCATTCCACTTCCAGTTAAATAGCTTCATTTGATATACATTTTGCATACTTGGGATCTGGGAACACCCAATGTGCTATTATTTAAAAGTATATTTGATGTCTTTAAATCTCTGTGCTATTATTTAAAAGTATATTTGATGTCTTTAAATCTCTGTGCTATTTTTTAAAAGTATATTTGATGTCTTTAAATCTCTGTGCACAACCCAGTTATCGTGAAGATACTTAACACCCTCAAGAAATGCACAAGGCTTAGGGAATTAACTTCACTCGTGCTAAACGGTTGTTTCATTGTCTCCATTAACCCCTTTAGATCTTTTGGTGACAGTTTCAGTTCCCAAATACGAATAGCTTTAATAATTTGTTTCAGTTTGTGTATATTAATTATTTGTTAAGACTAGTTATTTTTAAATATCTCATTTTAGGATGGAGGCTGGTAGCGGTAGTAACTCACAATGTTCACCGGGGGGACCATTCAATAGTGAGGGATCTGCAAGTCAGCCCCAAGGTCATAGGCAAAAGACAGATATAGCATGGGGATATGTTTCTGAGGGCAGAAATGCACAAGGAAGAAAAACCATGACATGCACTTATTGTTTTAAAGTGTTTCATGGGGGTGGCATCCACCGAATGAAGCAACACTTGGCAGGAGTAACGGGCAGTGTTACTTCATGTCCAAATGTTGATCCAGCAGTGAGGCTTGCAATATTAACATGTTTGCAAGAGAATGATAAAAAATCTAAAGAAAAAAGAGGAGATTTTGGGGTTGAAAGTCCTTTTGGTCAACCAGTGCACGAATTTGTCGGTGATGAAGTGCAAGAGGTTCCACCTCCTCGAATAAGGGAAATTTCAATGAATGAGGCTGGTACATCATTAGGTAAAGGAAAGAGAAAAACCACTGCCCCTACAGGTATTCATGCTTTCTTTAAGGGTGGACGTGATAGTGCTCAACCTACTATCAAAGCTTGTTTGCAAAGTAAGGATAAATGGCAAAATACTGATATGGCCATTGCTCTTTGGTTCTATGATGCATGTATTCCCATTAATGCTGTTAATTCTCCATTTTTTCAAAAAGCTATCGATCAAATTGCATCAATGGGTCATGGTTATAAAGCTCCATCTTATCATTCTTTGCGAGTCACTTTGTTGCGAGATGCTAAGAAAGATGTGCAGTTAGTTGTTGATTCATTTCGAAATACTTGGGCTGAAACTGGATGCACTATAATGGGTGATGGATGGAAAGATAGTAGACAAAGACCATTGATTAATTTTTTGGTTTATTGTCCTAAGGGTATATCTTTTATCAAGTCTATAGATGCATCGGACATTGTGACAAATGCAGAAAATTTGTGCAATCTGTTTGTTGAAATTGTTGAAATGGTTGGTTCAAAAAATGTGGTGCATTTAGTCACCGATAATGCTAGCAATTATAAGGCTGCTGGAACTTTATTAAATGAAAGATATCCAACTATTTGCTGGTCTCCATGTGCTGCCCATTGTATCAATTTGATTTTGAAGGATATTGGTGAAATGGGTACTGTTAAATCTCTAGTGGCTCTTGCTGCTACAGTAACTGTTTTTGTGTATAATCATAAATATGTTCTAAATTGGCTGAGAAAAACTAATGGGTGGAGGGAGATTATTCGTCCGGGGGAGACTCGATTTGCCACCACTTTTATTGCACTAAAGAGCTTACATGATCACAAAGACAGCTTACAAGCTTTAGTCACTAGCGGAGATTACAAAAAGTTCTTGAAAATGAACAAAGGAAAAGAGGTCAAACAAATTGTTTTGGATGATAGATTTTGGAATAATTGTTTGATTACGGTGAGAATAATGGGTCCTATTATTCGGTTGTTGAGAGTTTGTGACACTGATGAAAGGCCTTCTTTGGGGTATGTGTATGAAGGTATGTTTAGAGCAATTACTGGAATCAAGAAGTTGTTCAGGAGTAGTGAAAGACTATATAAGCCTTACATTGATATCATCAATGACCGATGGGATAGGATGTTGAGGAAAAATTTGCATGCTACGGCATATTTTTTAAATCCCGCTTTTCAATATGACACTGCCACATTCTCTACACATCCAGAAATTACAAATGGTTTGTTGGATTACATAGAATCAAAGGTGGATTGGTGTAGTGTGGAAAATTTAACAAGAGAAATTGGAATGTATCGAGAGCGGGAGGGAAGTTTTGGCAGAAAACTTGCTATTCTTACTAGCAAGAAAGATAGACCAGGTAATTTATATTTTTCTAGCATTTGAATCTGTCTAATATATATATATATATATATATCTAATTTATAAATATTTTGTTTATATTTAAATTTTGAATATGACAGAGAATTGGTGGAAGCTCTTTGGTTGTGATGCTCCCAACTTACAAAAACTTGCAATTCGGGTTTTGAGTCAAACAGCTTCTTCTTCAGGATGTGAGCGTAATTGGAGTGTTTTTGAACGTATTCATACTAAGAAAAGGAATAGGTTGGAGCATCAAAGGCTCAATGATCTTGTATATGTGCATTACAATTTGCGTTTGCAGTATAGGTATATGTAAATGGTTTATTTTTATAAATAACATTTCATTCTTTTTAAGAAAATATTTTAGTACTAACTAAGTGTATATGTTGTGTGTATATATATATGTTGTAGGCATAATCAGCAAAAAAGATCGTATGATCCCGTTGATTATCAGTCAATTGATAAAACAGAATTTTGGGTGGTTGAAGAAGAAGAAGAAGGGGAGCTTGATTATGAGGAGTTAGAGGAAGAGCTTGAAGAACTTCCAATTCATGGTCAATGTTCAAATTCTGAACAACCTGAAGGTTAGTTTGACATAAATCATTAGTTTGATGCAAAAATAAAGCTAGTATGATATGATATTCAATTGTTGAATATGTATATAATTAAATATGTTGATTTTTTAGATAATGAAGAGGAAGCAGAAGATGTTGATTTAGAAACATTTCAGCGTCGAAACTTTTTTAATGATGAAGATGATGATTGGCATTAAATGTTCAAATGGTAATTGGTATAGAATTATTTGTACTCTTTTATTTTTATTTTTAAGATTTGTATCAGTTGGTGTGATGAAACTAATATAATTTTATACTTTTATCACTTGTCAGTGATTCATATAATGGTCTTGGATGATGATGATGATGACTTGTCAAGATGGCTTTTTTTGAAGCTTTGTTGTCCCAGAATTATGAAGAAGATTATAGAAGCTTCAGAAATTGGACTCGTTTGGACCTTTTGATTGTTTTCTAGACTTGTATTTTTTTTTGTTAATTTTAATATTTAGACAATTGGACATGTAAGTTTCATAACTATGTTAATTGTGTGTGTTAATTGTTGGATATTGCTCTTATATTTATTGTGGTTCAGCATTTATATCTTATTCTATGCATAGGTGTGTGTGTCTATATATATATATATATATATATATATATATTTATTTATTTATTTATTGAACCCCGGTTGAACCGGTCCGACCGGTTGAACCTCGACCCTTTCACCTCACCGGTTCGATTGACGGTCCGGGTTTGAAAACATTGATTAGAACAAGCTAAGAAAAAAAGAGAATAATACCATCGATACAACATTAATGAATCAACGATTATGAAATCAAAGGCAAAAGTGGTTGAGTTGTCATTGACAAATATATTGGATAAACGTCATACCCGGTCATCTTTTATGTTACTATATATTTGTCCTTTCACCAAGTTTGGCACCCGTTTTTTTTTTTAAAATGTATATAGAAGGGTTCGAACTGAAATCTTTTACTTGTATTCCGAAACCATTCAGCCCATTCCTCTCCAATTTTGGCACCACTCTAGTTGTTAATTAATTATCAAAGGTTCTTTTTCAAGTACAACAAACATTCTTTTTAAGTGCAAAAAAAAAGAAAAAAGAAAAAAGGGGGCAAAATAGAAAATGCCTAAACTTTTAGGTTCATTTGCTGCAATTAACCCTCCAATAGATTCTGAATCTGAAAAGTTTCCAGTCTCCTTTTGTCTTTTTATTCAGAACAACCCTTTCCACCTCATTATAGTCAAAAAACAGAGAGAGAGAGAGAGAGCGCTCTGGGGACTGAGTAGCTGTAGGGAGCAATCAGTCTTGACTCTTGAGAGACTCTCCTCTTCAGCTTCCAATTTTCCATCATGGGCTCTTCCAAAACTGCGAGCGACGGTGTTCTCTTGCCTGAACGACGCCGTGTGGGGTTGTTGTACGACGAGAGAATGTGCAAGCACTTTGACGCCACAGACCATCCTGAGAACCCCAATCGCATCCTTGCCATTTGGAACAAGCTCGAATCCTTTGGCATCCATCAAAGGTCCTTCTTTATCATGCATGCTACTGTATATTGATATGTGTTTACGGTGTATGTGTTTTTCTTTTCTTTCTTTTTTTTTTCCATTTTTTGTGCAGGATTTATGTTTTTGTTTGTGTATAATCTGTGATTTTTTTTAAAGTCTTTTTTACGTTTATAAATTACGGAGAGGGTTTCAGCTATGTGAGGTATTTGAATGTAGGTAGAAAATTAGGAGAAATTAGTTCCCCCTTTTTTTTTTTTTGGGGGCACCCAAGTGAATATTATAATTGATATGGGCTTTGGATGCAGGTAATGATCCAACTGGGCATAGAGTAGAAGCTATGGTACTTGCCAAAAAATTTTTTTAAAAAAAGAGGGGATAGTAGCTATGGTTGCTATAGAATTTGTTCAAATAATAATCGGGGTTCTTGCAGGGAGAAATATAAAATTGGGGCTTGATGAAAAGGAGGCAGGGGTTTTGATGGGAAACGTTTACACCACCGACCTCCCCTGCCTTTTTACCTCTTCAAGATTGAAAACAAGTTTGAATTTGAATACCGTTTCTTTTTCAAATGGGGACCAAGAAAGACCATGCTTTTACTTTATAGTTCACCTTTAATTCTCTTTTTCATTTTTTAAGATTTATTTTTTTATTTGGTTATTTACTTAGTGAAGAAGCTTGCTTGAAATTTTTTAGGGATCTTTAGAAGATTAACTTTTCTTGGTTGGAAAGCTGTCTGAGTATTTTTGTCTGTTGGTTATTTTCAGATGTGTTATTTTGAATGCAAAGGAAGCAGAAGATAAACATATAGCTTTGGTTCACACCAAAAGTCACGTTGATTTCATTAAGAATATAAGTTCTCAAAAGTTCGGTTCAAAATGGGATAGGATTGCTGCAAGATTCAATTCTATTTATTTCAATGAGGGATCATCTGAAGCTGCCTATCTTGCTGCTGGCTCTGTTGTAGAGGTAAGATCAATTGTCTGAAAACTACTTATGTATGTTTCACAATATGATGGCTGTCATTTGGCTTAAACATTTTGAAGAAGCCTGACACACTGAAAAAAAATGTAAATTAAAATGAATGCTCAGACTAGGCAACACAAATCAAATCTCTACCCATGTGGTTGTATTCTTATTTTGCCTTGCATATCATTCATGTAGGAAAATTTTGGTAGAAAATTAATATTATCACCCCCTAATTAAGTAAATAATTGTCCTTTGATTGCTCTGGGTATTTATTTAACAGTTCATTTTGAGTTGTTTCAAGCAATTCTTTTTTTTTCTATTTCATAAACCTTTTATGCTATGATTATTTTGAGAATGTAAAGTTTCCTTCCAGTTCTAATATTGTAAATTTATAGTCAATAAAACTTCTAAAGTTTTGCAGTTATTATTACACCATCAAGGACTTAGTCGGTGAAAGTAGTTGCTTGGCTTACTTCTGCTTTTTGCTGATAGGTGGCTGAGAAAGTTGCCAAAGGAGAACTAGATTCTGCATTTGCTATTGTTAGGCCTCCTGGGCATCATGCAGAAGCAAATGAACCGATGGGATTTTGTCTGTACAACAATGTTGCTATTGCAACTAGTTTTCTCTTGAATGAAAGAGTGAGAACTAGTTTTTGTTAAAGGCCTCTATATCTAGTCATATATCAGAGCATTGTGGATTTTAATTTTTGAAATAGTCATGTATTCATTTTTCTCTTGCTCTTATCTGTTAATGGTGCCATATCAGACAGAGCTGGGCATCAAAAAAATTCTGGTTGTTGATTGGGATGTTCATCATGGAAATGGTACTCAAAAGATGTTCTATAAGGATTCTCGAGTACTATTCTTTTCTGTGCACAGGTATGTGGAAATTTAACTCCTAATGGTTTTAATATTTCATTCCTATGAAACATACGTAATCACAATCAACTTTTTAATTATCCAAAGGGAAAATGATCGGTTTCATCCTTCACATTTCACAAAAATATTCTTTTCGTCCCTCACTTTTAAAATGAAGCAATTTCTTCCTTGACATTTAAAAACTAAAATTATTACATCCCTGAACCCAAATTTCAATCTGAATCAAACCATCAATCAACCTGATTACAAATTTTGGGGGTGTAATTGGTAGATCACTTGGTTAACTTAACTTGATATTCATGTAAAATTTAATGAACCTAAAAAGAAAAAAAAAAAAATTATAATATAAAAAAGAAAGATTAATCTTTTCTACATTATCATTGTATATACTGACAGTTTTATGTACCGCCATATCATTTTAATTTAAATTTAAACACCAAATTTTATATTTATGATACACATCTAGATTCGCAAGCGGATATACTAACGGTGCATGAAAAGATGTATAAAAAAAAAACTCTACTATTCCAAGACAAAGAATGGCCTTTTATGTTATAATTTTTATTTTTTTGGTTTAATAAATGCCATGTGAATACGATGAAGTTGACCGAATGATCTATCAATTCTATTTTCGAAATTTATTACTGGGTTATTGGATGGTTTGATTCAGATTGAAAATTAGGTTCAGGGATGTAATAGCTTTAATTTTTAAATTTCAAGGACGAATTTGCTTCATTTTAAAAGTGAGGGACAAAAAGAATATTTTTGCGAAATGTGAGGGATGAAACAGGTCATTTTCCCTTATCCAAATATGTGACTAAGAACCGTCCATGATTAGATTGTTAAATCAGTGAATGTTCTTTCCTTTTGAGTTCAATTTTAGTTCCTATAAACATAAGGAAGGAAGACTTTAGGAGTAAAATATCTGTGTTAGTATTAGCTTTATGCTCATAAGATGCTGCATGATACAAAACATTGGTGTCTGGGATGGACCACTAAAAACACAGATCTAGATCACCACTGCTAATTGTCTACTCTTTTACCTAAAATTCTTAGAATAACTTGTACCAGTAAGAGATTTTTAGAATAACTAGCACCAATAAGAGATTTTTTAACTAGTAATTATTTCCAGGCGATGTCAGTACAGATAGTAATTTGGGTCAAAAACAGTCAACAGATATAAATCCACTAATTTCTGGCGTTAAGTGCTCAACCATTATTGTTCTTTCCTTTTCATGTGTATGAACGCAGAAATAAGCTTTGTCTTTGTAGTTTTGAAGTGTAATACTTGGACTCTGAAATATTGAGTTGTATGAAGTTAACAGTTGATCTGACATCATCTTTGAGTTGGTTGTCTTATTGAATTGGTTGCTTGAAACTTTGACTCGATTAGGCATGAATTTGGGTGTTTCTATCCTGGTGGTGATGACGGATCGTATGTAATGATTGGGGAGGGACCAGGTGCTGGATATAATATAAATGTTCCTTGGGAGAATCGTAGCTGTGGTGATGCAGACTATCTTGCTGTTTGGGACCATATACTAATTCCTGTTGCCAAGGCATTTGACCCTGACATGGTTATTATTTCTGCTGGTTTTGATGCAGGTTAGCTAAGAAAGTGCCAAGCAAATTTCTTTTGGATGCTTTGGCCCCTGTGATTTTGTTTAAACATATGCTTTCTTATCTTTTTCCTTCCTGAAAGAAGGAATTGTCTATAGATAGTTCTTGTTTATACGAATCAACTGTTTGTCTTGTTGAGGTTAGCTGAAGGATGGTCATACACTATGGCTATGGATCGCATAGTACAGCCACTATTTACTTCCAAGCATGCACATGTTGCACTCGATTGAAAATTTGTTTTCCAGATCTATAAATGGACATTTTTTCTTAGAAGATTTAGTGAAGGCTGTACTGTTTGTCCATAGAAATAGTCCAACAGTAGTCACTGTTACATCTATTATAGTTTCTGTGACTGGCAATTGCATGAGCACATGTGATTATTGCTGGTCATCTTAACTTTTTAAGAAAAATTCAAGCTCTCTCACCCCCACCCACAAAAAAAAAAAAAACAAAAAAAGTCATCTTTCTTAGTTTAACTTTATATGGTGAGTTAATTTCCATATAATCCTCTAACAAACATGTCCCATCAGGCTCATTGATGATCCTAAATATATGTTTGTTCTAATTGAACAGCCGTTAATGATCCTCTAGGCGGCTGCTGCGTTAGTCCATATGGGTATTCCATCATGTTGAGCAAGGTTTGTTTTGGATGCATACAAAATCTTACCTGCCCCTTTCGCTTGAATTTTCCCTTAGTTGATACAGTTCATCTTTACGATGTAGAATGTTGAATTTTTTTTCTTGATTGCTATATGTAGTTAATGGAGTTTGCCGAGGGTAAGATTGTCATGGCACTGGAAGGAGGATACAACCTTAAATCTTTAGCAAATTCAGCTCTAGCTTGTGTCCAAGTGTTGCTAGGTGACAAGCCAATAGTCAGATCTTTGCAGGCAGATCCATTTGAATCAACATGGCGAGTGCTAGAAGCGGTACCGCAGTCTTTTAGTGCTATTTTATTGATCCATAATTTCACTGCATTAAAATTTACTAACTCAAGTGAAATCTGACTTGTCCTTTGATTTTCTAAGTTTTGCACTGCATAAGGCATGATTATGTGGTTTCTAGGTTCGTGAAGCATTAAGTGCATTTTGGCCGATCTTCGCTAAGAAGTTACCTGAGGAATTAACCAGTAAGAGGACATCTCTAATCCTGGTGAGATATCATTCCTTTGTTCCATTCTTATAACATATTTTTACAATACGGTTTTTCCTTTCAGCCTAGAGATTAACAAGCTTATGGTTCTATTGCCCTTAAATCCATTATGCACTCCAATGGTTTCATATTCTTGTGCTAAACAATGTGGCATGAAAAATGTTCTCGTCTTTTGTTTGTCTTTGATTCCATGAGGGCCTGTATTTAGCATACTCTTTCTTTTTTCAGTCAACTTTCTTGCAAGGAATTTCTTTCAATCATCTTGCTTTGCAGTGCTGGAAACAGTGTGGAAATAAAGAATCTTGTGTATAATTCTGTTGAAGCTTAGGTTCTTAAGGAAACCCTGATGTAAAGTCGTAAAAGTGGTCTAAAAAAGTAAAATTCCTCGAAGCATAAGAATGATGTTATTAACCGTAGGAGTCTGGAGGAAAAGATAAATCCATTACAGCATAGCCCTAATTTTCCTTTGACTTTCAATTAGCAATAACGTGGGCACACAATGTTAGCCGTGATTTTCTTAAGTTCTGTTTCAACTTTATTCTCCCCGTACAGTTGACAAGCCGCCTCTACATGATTATTAAAGCAAGCTCGTTGAGAACAAGAATAAACATTAGCACGTGCAAGTGGATTTGCTTTCTTTGGGATATCTACTTGTTAGTCACATATTTGTTTTGTGTTTTTTGTGAAAATGATACCATAGATAATCAGATATTGTACCTTTGTTTTCTTGAAATGCTACACTTGTTAAAACCTTGACATGTAAATATTACATAAATTAGTAAATTTCCATAGTAAGATCTTTCCCCTTACTGAAATTTGCTACCACTATGATCTCATAAACATAGAAATGGTTGTCCATTTGGTATTTCTCGACACCCATCATTGCAGAATGTTTCTCAAACTCTGAGGGACCACAAGAACCTTGATGAACTTAAGTCAAAATCTACGTAAAAAGTATAGTAACTAATATTGCTGTAATTTGAATAGTCATTGTAAATTGGGAGGAGACTGACTGTAGTCTATGAAATACATATATTCCCTTGATGCTGTTCTTTGGTAGGTGTTGGAAAAGAATCAAAGAGATTTTATTAATTCTGTATCTTCCTACAATTCATTCTAATCTATATATACAATTTTCTGGTACACTAAACAAGGAAAGTCTACATCTAATTCCCTTAATTTTGGTGACAGCTTATTCACCCTGATTTCCTAATTTACCTAAAATATCTCCTAAGATTACTCATTCAAGATTCCTACATTCACCCTGATTTCCTCCACTAATTTATCTCCTAAGATTACTCATTCAGGATTCCTACACTCCCCCTCAAGTTGGTGAATACAGATCTTCCATTCCCAGCTTGACAACACTCTCATGAAACATGTTGCTACACAGTCCCTTTGTCATCACATCTGCAAGTTGAAGTCCTGTCGGAACATATGGAGTACAAATCAGTCCACTTTCTAGCTTCTCTTTAATAAAGTGCCTGTCTATCTCTATGTGCTTCGTCCGATCATGTTGCACTGGGTTGTGAGCTATACTTATAGCAGATTTGTTATCACAGTATAGCTTCATCGGTTTGCTCCATTGAATCCTCAAGTCTTCTAGGATAATTTTAACCCACAATAATTCACATACCCCTGCTGCCATAGCCCTGAACTCTGCTTCAGCGCTTGACCTTGCTACCACACTTTGTTTCTTGCTTCTCCAGGATATTAAGTTTCCTCCAAGAAATGTACAATATCCCGAAGTTGATCGCCTGTCGACTGGAGACCCTGCAAAGTCTGCATCTGTGTAAACTGCCAGATCAATTTCAGGACCTTTTTTGAATAGAATTCCCTTCCCTGGATGTGCCTTTAAGTAATGAAGCACTCGATAAACTGCTTGTAGATGAGCTGCTCTAGGATCATGCATAAACTGACTAATAACACTGACTGAGTAAGCTATATCTGGCCTAGTATGTGCGAGATAAATGAGTTTCCCAACAAGTCTTTGGTACATCTCTTTGTCCACTGCTGTATCTCCATGAGCCTCACTTAATTTGTGATTCTGCTCAATGGGAGTTCCAACTGGCTTGCTCGCTGTCATGCCTGTTTCCTTGAGCAGGTCCATAACATACTTCTGTTGAGAAATAAAAATTCCCTGCCTTGATCGAGCCACTTCAATTCCCAGAAAATACTTCAATTTTTCTAAATCCTTTATTTCAAATTCCTTGGCTAGGCACCACTTCAAAGTTTTCTTCTCTACTTCATCATTTCCTGTCACTATAATATCATCTACGTATACAATCAAAACAGTAACTCCCCCGAAGGCTGAATGCTTGATGAACAGGGTATGATCTCCTTGACTTTGCTTGTAACCATTAGCTATCATTACCTTGGCAAATCGTCCAAACCAAGCACGTGGGGATTGTTTCAGCCCATATAATGCCTTTTTTAACCGACAAACCTTGTTCTTGTCAACCCCACTGAATCCCGGTGGAATGCTCATATAAATCTCCTCTTCTAACTCTCCATGAAGAAAAGCAGTCTTCACGTCGTACTGCTGTAATTCCCAATCAAAATTAACAGCCAAGGATAGCAGAATTCTTACTGTATTCATCTTTGCTACCGGAGCAAACGTTTCCCGATAATCTACTCCATATGTCTGTGTGTATCCTTTCGCGACTAACCTTGCCTTGTAGCGCTCTAAGGACCCATCTGCTTTAAACTTTACTGCATACACCCACTTACAGCCCACTACTTTCTTGTTCTTTGGTAAATCAACTAATTCCCAAGTCCCATTCTTCTCTAATGCATCCATTTCTACTTCCATAGCAAGTCTCCATTCTTTCTTTGATAATGCTTCAGACAATGAGCTAGGAATAGAGACTGTGTTTAAGGTGGAAAGGAAGCTTTGATGGCTTGGGGAAAACTTCTCAAAAGACACAAAGTGAGACAATGGGTATAGGGGTCTTTTGGTGCATTCTCGGGGTTTTTTCCTTACAGCAATAGGTAGATGTAGGTCCTGGTCAGGGCTAAGAGGCTCAGGACAAGGTGATTTAGAGCTGGAAGAATGGTCGGTCGGTGGTGTAGAATTCAGATTTGATTCACTCATTGTTACCTCATTCCCGGAGCTTGGTTTAGAGGATTGTTCTTGCCTTGTAACCACGATGGGATCTCCTTTCCTTGCATACACTTGGTCAAACCGGAACCAGTCATAGATTTTACGATCTTCCTTTTTTTCTTCTACCACATCAGATTGAAGAATTGACTCTTGGAATTCAGATTTGGATGACTCAGATGTGGACAACTCTAAGGAGGGAAATTTTAACTCCTTATCTTCAAGTGTATCTAACTCCCCCTGAAGATAAGGAGTGATAAAATAGGGCTTATTTTCAACAAATGTAACATCTGCCGAGACATAGAGTTTTCTAGTAGGTGGATGATAACATTTGTAACCCTTTTGAGTAGATGAGTACCCCACGAAGACACACTTAAGAGCACGATGATCTAACTTCCCACGATTATGACTATGGACATGAACAAAGGAAGTACATCCAAAAACTCGAGGAGTGAGATTAAAGGAAGATCGAATATCGGGGTAGAATTTGGATAGATTCTCTAGTGGACTTTGAAACCCCAAGACCCTGGAAGGAATTCTATTTATGACATAAGTTGATGTGAGTACAGCTTCTCCCCAATATGCTTTTGGCACACTTTGTTCAAACAGTAAGGCTCTAGTGCACTCAAGAAGATGTCGGTTTTTCCGTTCTGCCACTCCATTTTGTTGTGGAGTGGTAATACAGGATGATTCATGTATGATTCCTTCTTTTTGGAAAAACAGACTCAAGGTTTGATTGAAATAATCACGAGCATTATCTGAACGAAAGTGTTTTATCTTGGTGCCAAATTGATTTTGAATCATTGCATGAAAAACAGGGAAAATATGACTCAAATCAGACTTATTTTTGAGTAAATAGATCCAAGAGACTCTTGTGCAGTCATCGATAAATGTGACAAACCACTTAGACCCTGAGATGTTTGGAATAGTCGATGGCCCCCAAATATCACTATGGATTAAAAAGAAAGGAGAAGACGATCGTTTATTATTGATAGGAAATGGTACACGAGTGTGTTTGGCATACTCACAAATATCACAATGAAAAGACTGAACATCAAATCCCTTGAACAAGGAGGGAAACATTATTTTTAGTGCAGAAAAAGACACATGACCTAGACGTCTATGATGTAACCAGATGATATCCTTATTGGAGGGTGAAGACAATGTGGACAGGGCAGATTTACTAAATTCTGGTTGACTTGATGTATCCAAGTAATAGAGTCCATCATGCTCCTTAGCTAGTCCAATCCTCTTCCCCGAGCCCCGGTCCTGGAAGTCACAACAGGATTCATCAAATATAACAGAGCCAGCTAGATCTTTGGCAAGTTTTTTTACAGAAACCAAATTTGTAGATAATTGAGGAACATGAAGAACATTTTTAAGAATCAAATTTGGAGTAACTTGGACATCTCCGATACCTGCCACAGTGGTTGTAGTACCATCTGTAACAACAATCTTTCTATTGCTAGGACAGGGGTTATAGGTTTTGAATTTATTTGAAATATGAGTCATATGGTCCGTAGCACCAGAGTCAAGAATCCAGACATTCCTAAGCTCATTGCCTAAAACACTAAACGCAAAAGAGACTAGAGCCTTACCTGAAAGTGTCAATGAACACATACCCGGATTCCTTGATTGAGAATTGTTAGTTGCTGGTTTGTCAACTGTCTCTAACATACTTTTAAGCTTCTCAATTTCCTCCATACTAAACCCTCCAAGCACTTGAGTTGGATCTTGAACCGACATATGAGCGTGCCTTTGCTGGCCACCTTTCTGTCCCCATTCACGAGTGGGTGGTTTCCCATGTAGTTTCCAGCATTGATCTATGGTGTGTCGTGGTTTCTTGCAGTATGTGCACCACAACTCCTCCCGATTCTTCTGGCCACTTGTTTGATTGGTCTTGTCTGCAGCAACCTTGTTCAATACCAACCGCTGAGGTTTGGAACTTAAAAGGGCTGAATTTTCTATTGAAGGTAGTTCTAACATAATACCCCTGCGACTTTCTTCTCCACGTACCTGGGATATTGCTTCTGTTAAAGAGGGAAATTCTGGCCTGCCCAGAATTTGAATTCGTACAAGATCGAATTCAGAGTTTAGGCCAGCCAAAAAATCATAAACTCGATCTCTTTCTATAAACTTCTTGATAAACACTGCACATTTGCTACAGTTCAAATCAAGTGTCCTGTAATAATCCAGTTCCTGCCACTGGTTTTGCAAAAAATTGGCATATTCCGTCACTGTTTTTGTCCCTTGTTTTGCTCCAGTTGTCTTGGTCTTGATGTCATAGATAAGAGCTGCATCATTAACCTTGGAATATGTCTGATGAAGGGCATCCCAAATTGCCTTTGCTGTAGGAAGAAACATACATGTATCGCTGATTTCAGGAATCATGGAATTCCATAACCAAGACATGATCATTGAATCCTCTTGTTCCCATGCTTCAAACCCCGCCGTTTCACTATCCGGTGCTATTTCCAATAGATGACTCAACTTTCCTTTTCCTTTTAGGAATGTTCGAACCAATTGAGACCACTTCAAATAATTTTTTCCATTCAGTCTATATGCTGCCTGGATGTTTTGAAGCTCTGTTGTGTTCCGTGCACTTTGTTCTTCTTCCACAGTTGAAGACAATTGCCGCGTTGAGGATGTAGCATCCGCCATGATTGAATAGAAAAAAAATGTATAGTAAAAGGAACAGCAATGAAGGCTGGAGAGAATAAGAAAGGAACCAGCAATTAAGGCTGGAATTGACAAGAAGCAAAGGTGGTATTTTTCCCAGAACCCTAGACGGGCTCTGATACCATGTTGGAAAAGAATCAAAGAGATTTTATTAATTCTGTATCTTCCTACAATTCATTCTAATCTATATATACAATTTTCTGGTACACTAAACAAGGAAAGTCTACATCTAATTCCCTTAATTTTGGTGACAGCTTATTCACCCTGATTTCCTAATTTACCTAAAATATCTCCTAAGATTACTCATTCAAGATTCCTACATTCACCCTGATTTCCTCCACTAATTTATCTCCTAAGATTACTCATTCAGGATTCCTACAGTAGGCATTACATATTTAGAGTAGTCATCCAATAACTAGATCTCCTCAAGGTATTCCTTTGAATTGGCATCATGGACAAAAGCTTAATGAAACAGAAATATAATTACAATTGCGTAGAGCCTGAAAGTTTTCTTGAAGAACTTTATGTGAGATGCCTCATGCTGTTAACTATTAAGTCTCTAAAATGAAAATAATATGCACAATGCTCAAATATGTGCTTATTACATGAATCCTAAGGTTGTTGATGGACTACAAAGTGAAACTGCGAAGGGAAGAAGGAAAAGAAATCTTCTAAAAGGAATAAACATGTTCTAAAATTAAAACAAACAAGGAAACAGAATATAGCATATGAGGTTGAATTGTTTGGCTAGGTTTCCTTGTCCATATTGTTAATATGCAATGCTGCTACAATGGCATTGGAAACTACTATATCTCTTTTGTATTTTCTTTTTCCAGCATATTTATGATATAAATGATATCCTGTTCCAGATCCCTTGTTCTGATTCTGAAGATGAATATGACAATGGTCCTAATACAACATCAGAAGATTATGAGGCAGCTATTGAGCATGTTATAGAACCACTCCAGAATTTGGAAGTTGATGATGGTCATTGTACTGAACTTACAAATGGCCCTAATACAACATCAGAAGATTATGAGGTAGCAATTGAGCATGTTATAGAACCACTTCAGAATTTGAAAGTTGAAAATGGTCATGGTACTGAACTTACAATCAAATCTTTGTTTTCAAAGTACCTTTCTACCAGATCCTTGTCACTGAAATTTACTGAATGCAGATCAAACTATAGCTTTTTCTTCCAGCTGGAGATCAGAACTTTCTAAGATAGATATCTGGTATGCTACTTATGGATCAAATATGAGAGAATCAAGGTTCCTTTGCTATATTGAAGGTGGACAGGTGGAGTACTTTGTCACAAGCTTCTATATTTCTTTGCTGCAACTTTTTGCTTTTGTATTAGGTAGTCGCCTTTGTAGTTTTCTCATGAAAACGTGCATTGAATCTTGTGTAACTGACATAAATTTGTTTACCTTCTAGTTTGCACTTTGTCATTCTTTTTTTTTTTCTGGACCTATACTGTTCAACCCATGGCATAGTAGTCTTGTTGAATTGTCTCCATATCTATCCAAAATCTGAGCATTTGTGCCATTATGTATGCTTTTTAGATGACGTGCAGGCTGAAGCTTCTGAGTGAAATTATTTTGTAATTTCAGATTTCATCAATTTTGTAAAGAGAAAACAAATGAATGCAAAGAGTATTCCACATTGAAATTAATTATTGTGGCATATTGCCAATCTTGTAACTCTGTGTAGTCTGCCTTGTTCTATTTGCACAGTCTTTCTTTGAATTTAGCTTCTTACCTTTCACTTTGGACTCCCTATTGGTTCCATGACTTCCAGGTGGAAGGAATGCAGAAGCAATGTGTTGGTTCAGTGGACAAAAGCCCACCCAAAGAGAGTTGTTGGAGGACTTTCCCTCATCGTTTGTTCTTTGCTCGTGACTATACTGCTACTTGGGGTCCTGGAGGGGTTGCTTTTCTTCATCCTGAAAGTAACAGTGAAGATAAAGCTTACCTGCGCTTGTACAGGATAACGTATGTGTGCCTCTTCATGTCCTATAATCATTTTTTTTTATGTCCTTCAAGCTGCAGAGCATTAAGTTTGTTAATATTAAGAGAACAGATGCCAACTTTCCATAAAACTCTGTTTTGGCTTTAGCATCCATTTGTGGGAAGCTGTTTTGCAATATTTTTGATTCCAATGTGTTTCAGACTTGAGCAGTTCAATGACGTCTTGGTTCAGGAGAATATCCTAAGCTCCAGAACAGGTCCATTGTTTGGTTTGAAAGACCTACAATCTATTGAAGACAAAAAGTGCATATCTATAGAGGCTATTAAGGTAAATCTGCATGATTTTATGTTCCTAAATACAGTTTGTACAACAGACAATAAATAATAGCATCTGAGTACTACTTTGCTTTTATTAGCTGCTTGACGTGCACTTGGTGCTTGAGGTTTTGAAAAAGATGAATTTGAGATTACATGAAGATGAAGATATTGATCATTTGCACGGTTGTATGATTCTGAGTCCTGCTAGACTGCACACATAATTTCACATGAGATTTTGAATTAACCACGTTCGAACAATGTGTCTGTTTTCCTCTCTCTTCTCTTTTTTACCTCTTTCACCACATGAATGAGATGGCTCTTCGGTCATCACCCCCACCATAATGCCATTAAGGCAGCTGTCCACCATCAAACCAGAAGGGTAGGGCAAGAGAGGAGGAGAAATGGAAAGGGAGCACTGAAAAAAGGAGGACTGAGCTAATGTGTTGGGGCACAAGAGCCAAATAAAAAGGAACAGAGCTTGTGTATTGGGGAGACAAAGGGAAACTTACCTAATTATTTCTTTCTCAGTTTCTTGTGTCCTGAAACAGCAGAAAGCAGACAGTAATTCTATTGTGTGAAATAGCTCATTTGAAGGTATCCAAGCTCATGTTACTTTTTGTCTATTAGATGTCAGAAAAGTAAAAATATTTTCATTCTTGTTTTGACCAAGACGGTTCAAGAAGTAGTCAAGTTGATTATGGCGTTTGATTGACCCAATGTGACTTGTCGAACAAGGGTAGGTTTTGGAAACTGCATTATAGCCAGATCATCAAACCTTAGCTTTAAATTATTTTCCTGTATAAAAAATTGCTAAGTTGCCTTTTTAATTTGGTTTAGTTGTTTTGAGTAATTTTTAACTTGAAGAGTGTGCATTTTTTCTTTTTCTGTAATTTGTTTTATTTTTCCTTGTATTTTAGATTTTAGTGATGCTGTTTCCTATCTTCTGGTGCGGGGACTAACAAGCAGTTCCATTATCTACATATACCCTTTATAGCTATAAATTCCTTTCTCTTTTGGTAATTAAGTCAATCATGTGACAACATGAATATAACACTAAAAATGGGACTAATTACCTTCAGAATATCCTAGCGAACAAAGCAATTTGAAATTTGAAAGTCTTGCATATAAATAATTTATCCTCTCATGGCTAAAATTCTAGGTTTATGAACTCTTCCCTTGTGCGCATGAATCAATTGAAGGTATCAACTTGTTTCTCTAACTTTGTGGTGTTTTTCATCATATAGAAAGGCTGGTATCACAATGTCCTTTACTTGGGTAAGGAGGACGACTTACCAGTTATAACAATGACGTAAGTTCATTTGCATCTTTAAATTATATTGTTCTTTCAACCTATTTGCTGTTCTTCCCAACGTATTTCTATTCAACTGACCAGAGTTTGATCGGCAACCTCACATCATTGCTTTCCATTCAGGTGCACCCTCTATAGTGTAGACAATTTCAAATCTGGGAAGTTTCCGATGTGTGCTCCAGGCAGAGGCTATGCCAACACCTTGATTAAGGGACTTGTAGAAGGAAACAGGCTCTCTAATGAGGAAGCTGTGGCTTACATAGAGGAAGCATCTACCAAGAAATTGTGAATTCTACATCCTTGTTTTTGTTTGTACAGTCTTACGGCTATTCTGCATGCGAAGCCCTTTACTAGCGACGCCCCATGGCTTCCAATGATTATTGTTCACAATGGAACCAGGCAAATTAAGCCATGTACCATTATTATGCTTGGGAGCAGTTAATCATGTTTATATGGCTGTTCTGTAGATGCAAGTTTGAATGACAAATTCTGTGCTCGAAGAAAACTTTCTTAATCTCTCTCTCATCTCTCTGAGGCATGCTCTCCTTTGATTTGTGTTCTTGCATTCTCTTCTCGCAGCAGATTTGCTTCTGGCTAAGAGTTTTAAATAGCACAAAATCTCACTTGGATAGTATTTGTATCACATTTGGTTTCTGTATTCCAGCAATTTTTCGTTTTATTACATAGCTTGTTCTGGCTGAGTACTTGTACTATCATACCACACATAATTATCTGATTAGTTCGCATCATGCTGATATAATCATGGTTCAAAGTCGCGGTCGCGGTTGCGGTCGCGGCCTGGATCGTTCCACATCGGTCTCAGCATATCGATCGCGGTCTTGGCGAGACGTGAATTTGTGAAATATTTAATATTCTAAAAATTGTAAAAAATATGATAAACAAAAGTAATTAAAAAATTAGTAAAAATAATAAAAATTCAAGTTGACTCGGGATGATTCGGTGTGATTCGACCGTTTTAACCTTTCACGGTGACGTCTCGGCCTGTCATGTATCTCGGAAACGTTTCGTCGCAGTCTCGTCTCGGACTAGGCCGAGACGGAGACGACTCAGTCGTCTCAGTCTCGGCGTCTTCGAACCATGGATATAATACGCCAAGCGAAGACTTCAAAAATCCATCCGACAAGGTGGAAATTTGAGTTGGGTGCATTTCTGTGAGAGAAAAGTGTTAAGAAGAATGGATTTGAAACCTTATGGAAGGAATCAAAGAATGTGAGAGAGAAGTGCAAGGAAGGAATCAAAGAATGATTACAAAAGCGACGTTAATAAACCAGTTAAAGCGTTAATAAGATACTAGAGCAAGACCTGTTTTAAATAAATTTTGATATTGGAATATCTCAAGATATGTTCAAAATCAAATTTGCTCTTTCAACTAAGATCCATAAGTTTGGTAGATTCTTTTAATTGTTATCACAAGTCCTTGATGGATTTAAACAAAGTCATTGAAAATTACAAGCCCGTCCAAATTCTAGTGATGAGTGTAATGCTTTCAGTTTTATTCATTAGCTAATACACTGATAAGCATCAGTTCTGATTAACCGCAAATCATTGAGGTTAAATAGACATCCTGGAAGACTAGGCGAATTAACATGGCAATCAATTTCCAAAGTATCATACCATCATGATGAACAATGACGAGCTTAACTTATCCATTTGCTCACATTACAGGCATCCATCTGTTGAAAATCGACCCCAACTGACATTGAATAACATTTCATGAAAGAATAAGCTGAATAGCTTCGCAATCAATTTCCAAAGTGACGAGCATCATTCCATCACGAAGAACAAACAAGAATTGCTACATTTCTAGCTATCAAGGTCTTTCTGCCGACTCTGTAATTTCCTGTGGTATCTTATATTACTCGGATACAATCATCTAGGATATAACAACGGTAATTATTTTATAATTACCAAAATAATGACAAATATGAAGCCAAAAATGACGCCAAGCCCGTAGCTTGACACACTCAACACAGAAGATGCTCCAGAACTTTCATCTGGACTTTAATGTAGCATGACCCGTATCCCCTAAATGCCTATGTAGTTTATTTCTGTCAAGAAAATTTGAAATTAGGTTAACTCAAACATAGTCCAATCAAGTAAGAAAGTTTTTGAATGAAGAATAAAATTTGGCAACATGTATAGTCACCTTGATTCAAATTCTTCTCCACATTTCTCACACCGGTTGCTAATAACTTTGGTATTAGCCTGAGAAAAAGCATAAGAAAAACAATACATAATCAGTCAAAAAAAAGGTTTTTGAAAATAATCACAATCAATATTACACAAAATGCATCTTCTGACTAATGTTACTTTCTGGGATACTAAAAAAAAAATCAAATAATTTCATCTGTAACTACAATAGATTGAACTATTAGCCACAAAAGCATTTACACTAATGTCTCCACTCTAGCTAAGGATCCTGTGGGAAATCCTGCCAAGAGATTACTTTAGTCACTGCGACTTGGACTATTGGTGAAGGAGGGTACTTCATTCACCATTGACCACAACTACAAAATAAAGGCAACCTATTTGAAAAACCTCATATGATCATGCAACAAGAAGGATTGAGTATGAGTAATATGACTTTCCTCACACTGAACAGTTGTTCACCTAACAATGTCTAACACAAACTAGAAAATAAGCAGTACAAAATTAGACTAGAAACAAATGAAAACGTCATAGTACCTTCTTTTTCCTTCCTTTGGGTGCCTCTTTTGACTTGAAATTGCTGTCTGACTTTGCTGTCCCTTTCTTGTTAACAGCTTGTCTTGAAAGCTTATGACTCGTTTCTGATTCATCATCTTCTTTGCCTCTAGATTGAGTTTCAAGGAAAGAATCTGATGACGCCTCCTTCATGGTGTCATGATACCCATTATTCTCAGCTTCAACATGCGCTTCAGCTATCTCAGTTTGCGCTGCTTCCTCTAGAGTTCGTCCCCTTTGTTTCCTACCTCCCCTATTCCTTCTTGAACCCTTCATATTGTTATACGCCATGAAGTCCATCTCATTACTATCAACCTCGACTGGGATTTTATTTGAAGCACGCTTAGGCTTCTGATCCAAGCTTCCATTTTTCCGATTCTTCTGCCCAGAAACCATAGCTTCAAGATTACTAGCTTCATCATCATCTGATCGCATGTCAGATTGTAGTTCCTTCAAGCCAATCCCACTATCCCTATCAACCAAACCATCTTGTTCACTAGATTGCGCTTCATCATTGCCTTCTTCTCGAATTTCCATGGTGCTATTAAAATGATCCATTAGTTCATCCACCTCATCATCTGCTGATAAAAAGCCACTCTCTTCTGCGCCAACCTCATCTTCCTCCTCATATTCCTCACCCACTTCCTCCGTCTTCCCCTCTTCATATTCTTCATCTTCCTCAATAAATGTGTTCCGCAATTCTGCCACCTTTTCCTTGTGTTTTTTTGACTGCTCATGATTTTTCCATTGTTTATCACTCTTGAATTTCTTTCCACATGCAACACAATACAACTCCTTCCCATCCCCTTTCTTCTTCTTATCGTCATCAACTATCTCCTCAGTATCTTCATCCTCAATGTCTTCAACTTTAGCCCACTCAGGCTCCTCGTACTTCTTCGCTCTCTCAGCCTTTTGTCTCTCCAACTCCTTTTTCCTCTCCCTCTCTTCCTCCTTCCTCCTCTCCACCTCCTCGGCCCTTTTCATCTGCATATCTATGACCCTCTTATCCCTTTTTTTCACAAACTCAGCCAATCCCCTAACTGTGTCATTATACTCCCTCCGTGCTTTTTTCCTCAACTTTTTGTTTTCCTCCTCCATTACCCTTCTTGACTTCCTATTCGGCCCTGCCATTACATCATACTGATCTACCCAACAAAAGTCCATCAATGTCACAAACGCTAACCAATAATTATAAAACGCCGTAACCTGCATAAGAATCAATCACTAAATCAACAAAACCTCAATCTTGCCAAACTACAATTTCTAACCTCTAATTAAAAAAAAAAACTTAACAAAATTTCCAACATTTTAATAAATTGGATTAAAAAACGGAATCAAACATATCTCCAACGAGCAACTATAGAAACATCATCTTAAAATGAAGAATACAAGCATAAAGTTTCGGAATAATTGAAAAAGGAATCATGCCTGAGTATAATAGGAATCCAAATTTCCCATGACTGGAGCTTCCTTAGGGAATCCCAAGCCCAACTTCTTGGCAAAATTTAACTCATTTTGATAAATTTTATCAAAAACATCTCCATAAACCTTATAAAAACCCTTGCCGGAATCCGAATATCCAGAATAAACGGAATTGGAGAAATACGAAAACAAGTTCGGAACATAGACGGAATTAGCCGAATTGCCGGTGGCCGGGGAGGAACTGGAAAACAGAATTTGAGAGCGGTGCGAGTCGTACCACGCGCGCTCCCGCGGGTCGGAGAGGACTTCGTAGGCGTTTACGAGCTCTTGGAATTGAGCTGTGGCTTCGGCTTCTGATAAGCCGGATTTTACGAGCTTGTCCGGATGGCGCTGAAGAGCAAGCTTCTTGTAAGCTGACCGAATTTCGTCGACGGAGCAGTCGCGGCTTAAGCCGAGGACTTCGTATAGGCATCGTTTTGGTTTCTCCGACGACGCCATTTTAGTTTCAGTTCGGACGATCGGTTGGAAACTAGGGTTTGGGATTGGGAAAGGCGGGGTATAAATTGGCTTGCAGTTAGGGGTTAAAGTGAAAGAGAGATAGTTTTCGTGGGTTTGATTAAGGTGATTTAAATATTTGAGGGGTTTATAGTAAAAAGACCGTTTTCGGAAGAACCGACCCGTGGAATTTGGTAGAATTCAAAAAAAGAAGGCGAAACGATGTCGTACGGACGGGATCAGTAAAGCGCTGTAGACCCATTTTTGTTTTTCAATCTTGCA